AGAGAGAGAGAGAGAGAGAGAGAGAGAGAGAGAGAGAGAGAGAGAGATATTGTCATCTGGTGCAGCCAGAATTTCAGAGAAGGATAAAAGATGTGCTCCTCCACTCCCCGCCCACCTCTCCTTATATGGAGACCGCTTGAGGACTTTGTTATCTTGAGATTATCTTCTAAGATAAAGAGTCTTATACCCAAAAAGATTATATTTCATCTATCCAAAAAAAGTTTTTTTTTTCAAGGAAGTTCACTCTGATACCAGACTTCTCTGTGTCAAGGACTGTGTCTGGTAGTTCTGTGTATGGCATACACCCCCAAATAAGGCAAGCATCCCACTGTCCGATCATAACATTCCAAACTCAGCTCAAGTGCAAGTGAAACTCGGGTGATAGACTACAGGCTCTTCAGTGGCAGTGGGACAACCTGTGGCTTTTCCTTCCGTTTCCAGGTGAGGTCCCATCCCCCTGCCCCTGCCAGAGGAATAAAGAGGTGTCACCCTGCAGAGGCAGCCATGATGACTTGGACAGTTTCTGATAAATCATTTTCTACTGAGGAGAGGTTTTCAAGTTTGAAAACAGTTAAGTTTTTGAGAATAAACTCTAGTCCATCCAAGTAGAATGATACAGTTGAGAAAAGGAAACTTCTTCAAGGTCAACTCTGTGTGTTCAGGTTTGGTGGCCATCACGTAAAGGATGAATCCCAAACTCCCTCCCTCTTGTATATAAGAAAGTCACCAACCACTCATCCTGGTCTCAGCCCGACCAGTTGCCTTTTCAGATAGGTTTCCAGAAGTCAAACCCTAGTGACATGCCTCCATAGATGATATTTTTTTTCAGTTGTTTGTGTCATTTTCTTACAAAAAAAAATCAGAGTGAATGGGATTTAGCTCTGAGTATTTTTCTAGTGTTTTTATTGTTGTTAATAAACGGTGCTGCTGGGTCATGCACGCTGCAGCTCTCAACATTTCTCTGATTTCGTTCAGCTTTTGCAAAAAGGGCTACAGTTCACACTGCAGAGTAAGTATTAAGATTTCTGGGTCCTTCCCCACCCCCGTACTTCTGTGACCCAAAAGAATTAAAATCATTTAATATAAATAGAGAGCATATTTATATCATTCCTCAATAGTTAGTTATAGGGTTTGGTACCTTTGTGCCTCAGGGAAGCCATGTGATGTAACTGGTTATAGCCTTTCAGGGTTAGGGCGTAGAGAAAGGAGAAAGCCATTGGAAACATGATGGACTCCATTAAGGAGACAAGCTAATCTAGGTGCAGAAGTGATTGTAGTAGAATTTGTTTCCCAGTGCTAGTAGGGAAATCATTTTTAAGTTATTATATATACTGTATTCAGAGAGTCCAGACCTCTCCAGAAAGGCCCCCTATTTTTGCTTACCAGTCTCTGCAAGCAAGAGCCCAGTATTGATTTCTGGACCCTTTTAAGAGTTTAGGGTACACAGTTCTACTTATGTGTACTAACAGTTGTTCCATGGTCTCACTCCCTGCTTTTCTTCTTCAGAGCTGTTCTTTTCTTTAGGTAGGCACAAGAGGTGGACAGTCATGCCACTCTCAGTCCTGACTTCATGCAGTCTTGCCTCTGACAGTGAAATTCAGACAGACAAGCCCCAGGACCTTGATTTTACCAGATGTGATTCTGTTCCCAGAGCTGTCAATCTCATGATCCCAGAGCTCTGCCTTTTGGACTGAGGGTCGGAAGCTCCTGTGGTGAGCATAGGTCACAGCTCCAGGCGTTGCTTTATAACCCAAGGCCAATGAGATAACTTCAGAATATTTGTATAGGAAGCTAGGCATTCCTGAAGCAGTCAAATCAGAAGAGTTCTATCGTTACTTTTTAGTAAGACGTCCTCACAGATGTCTGCCCTCATGACTCCCTAGTGGACAGTAGGGGAAAATGAGTATATTTTCCAGGTCTGCTTAACTTTCTGAACAAACTGTTGAAAAGGATGTTCTACCTTTTAAGATGAGATCACAGATTGCTTCTCTGTCAAATAATCTAGAAGTTAGGGGGCTGGTCATATTTACCATGTATAGTGTTATGAGCAGTTAAATTTTCTGGCTATATTTGTAAAATCTGTTCTTTTATATTTCATGTCAAATTGAGAAATTTATTTCTTCACTGTTGTACCTGTGGAAATACAAGCCATTTTACAGGGAAAAAAAACCTTCAAAAGCTATTAAATGAATCTCACCATGTTTGTAAGTTGTCTTCAGACTCTTGTTATCACTGGCTTCGTGGGGACATTCGGGAGGGCATGGATGCAAACGTAGACTTTATTTGTACATTCCCTGAGCTTCCACCTGAATCCCAAACAGACAGGAGTATTGTTTCGTTATACTCTGCACACTGCATTCTTACATGTGTTCTGAAATCTCTCAAATTTTTTATTAAAGAAACTTCATTTTATTAAGGAAACTCCATTGGTACTTATTTTACTATTTCTTGTGACATTTTATCCCTGTCAAATAAATCTAATTCATAGGAGAATTTAACCTGGTTGTAGAATTAGTGGATCTTCTTCATGGTTGATATAATTGTGTAACTACTTTTGTGATAGTCTTTCTTCCCTTTTAGTAGCAAAAGACTGGTGTCTGGCCTTCAAGCCTCAAACCAACATGTTTATCATAAAGTATTTGCATTTGTGATGGGTTTTTTCTATTCAAATTGATATTCAAAGGTTATAACTATTGTTGAGGGCAATAGATTTATTTCAAAAAAGAATGCAAATATAGCCTTTTATACAAGAAGCACATGTTCTACTTTTATCAAATTTGAGATGTCATGAATAGTAAAATGTGTTTCTATAGTTAAACGGCTATACTTGTATGTCCCACTCAACAAGTACGCTGAATTCATTCAATGTGAGTGTGTGGAGGGGGTTGTTTTCAACAAATAGACCAAGGACCACTGGGTATCTTCATGCGGAAGAATGGAATTAAGATCCATAGGTATGGGGTCATGATAAAATTAATTAACTCAGCGGGTCAAAGAGCAGGACTGTGGAGCTCTTGGAGGGAAGTTTCAACTCTAGTGACCTTAAATTAGTCATTTCTTAACTAGTGCAGCCAGGAAAAGCAAAAGGAACAAATAATGAACAAGTTGGGTTTCATCAAAATTAAAAACTACTGTGCACAGAATGAAACTGTCATCAGTAAAAAGACAACTCTCAAAATGGAGGTAATATATGGTGGCCGT